CACCTTGGTCATTTTAATTTCACAGTCCCCTGCTTACTCTCAACCTTCTGTTGATCTGCCCTGCTTCACTGATGCATGCATCCTGATCCTGGTGGTGTCCTGGGGTTGGGGGTAGGATGGGGGTGGGGAGGAGAGGTCCTCTTAGGGCTGCTCTCCCCAAAAGAAGGAAGGAAACCTCTAAGGCAGGCCACTCTTCCTTCCCCAAGAGTGATTCTTTTCTGGACAGGTCAAAACGCCAGGAAACACAAGCCAGACAGCCAGCTCAAAGGGAGTCCAATTCTGGGATTGCTTTGACTTGCTCTAAGTCTCCTGTTTCTGGGGGATAGGCTGACAATATTGCCTCACTCTATTAGGGCCTGAGGGAAAGAGGAAAAGAAAAGGAATGGCACCCTCCTGGTCTTTTATTGACTAAAATTTGCTCCCCAACTTTTGAGGGTGGTATGCTATGGTGAATGATACTCCTTTCTTCTTCCCCAATTTTCTCTTCCTTTCTCCACTTTGACACTTCAGTTTCTTCCAGTGAAGCCTTTCATTCTGCTCCCAAGGAATTCTGCGGTGGCCTCTATCTAGCTCAACTCATCTTGACTTCTGTGCCTTTTCTAAAGGGCTAGGGTCAGGGTGGGGGTCTAGGGAGGAGTGTTCCATTATGGGCTGGAAGATCTCTCTGACAGCCCAGTGGGCAGAAATAGCTTGACCTGGCCGAGGCAGAGGCCAGCAGCTGCAAGTCACCTTGGCTGATGTCAGAGGAGGAGCAGATCGATACTATCTCTGCCGGTTTCCTTTGGGTAGGCAACTTCCGCCTTGATGTTTGTCAAGTAAGAAACATGGGTTGGGGCAGCCCCTCTCAGAGCAGAGAATGGAGGAGAGCCTGAGAAAAAGGACTGGAAGATGAGGAGTCCCTAAATTGAGTGTGTTTAGAAGCCCTGATGTTTGATAAACTTCTTAAAGCAGTTATAGAACTGTGCCCCACTCCATCCCCAAAAGTCTAGCCTCCAAATAGAATCTTTAGTCACATATATATAGGCAATCTAAGTAGCATCTCTCTTTTCCTTCATGGTTCTCTTCTTGAGGCCAGTGTGGTCCCTTCATCTGACCCTTTGCCTTGTTGCTGGCTTGGTGCCTGAGATGGAAGAGACTTAACGCCTCTGTGAGCCACTGTGTCTCAGAGCTATCCATAGGACTTACTTGTAGATCAGGAAAATCCATAGTGATAAATCGTATAAGGACCCATTTCCCGTCTAGCTGGTACATCTAACTCTGCTTATATGTGGCTTGTGAATCTCTCTGTGTAGGTGGATATGTTGTGTTTTTTTTTTCCTCCAGTGATTAGTAGGGATAGCTGTCTTCCAGCACCTGACTTGTAAAGGTGTTAGGGCTCCATGACATCATACATGCACTAACATCATCTGAGTGACCAGACTTACTGATCCACTGTCAGTCTCCCCATATGGTTTATTAACTGGACCTAATGTGCTAGGTGATGTGCAGAGAAGGGATCTCCACCCTCATACGGCTTTTCATTTTTTCTTTAATAGGAAAACAGAGTTCCATCTAACTCTAGCTCCTTTCAGGAATCAAAACTTGCAAGACTGCAAATTGTAGTGGAAAGAAGTCTTCTAACTCTGGTCAAAAGACCTGGATTCAAGGCTCAGATCTACTGCTCACAATCTGTGTGATTTTGGCAAGTCATTGTACCTTTCTGGTCCTCAATTTCTTCTGCAAAATTAGAAAACTGGACTAAATGACCTCTCATGTTTCTTCCAGCTCTAAACCTGATTTAGAGAGGCAGTTGTGGGTAATGCACATGAGAGGTGGAGTTGAAAGACCTGGGTTTGTGTGCAACCTCTAGCACTTACTGTCTTGGGCAATTGGCCATAACCTCAGAGAGCCTCAGTTTATATATCTCTAAAAAGGTCATATCTCAAAAGTTTGCTATGATGAAAGTGCTCAAAAGGACTATACAAATGGATGAAGAGGTTGTTTTCTTTTTCCTGCTCTATAAAATATAATGCTGGAAACAGCTGAGTAGTGCAATGGATAGTTTTGGATCTGGAGTCAGAAAGAGCTGAGTTCAAGTATAGTCTCAGACACTCACTAACTGTGTGATTCTGGGCAAGTCGTTTAACCTGTCTGTCTCAATTTCCTCAATATTAAAATGAGAATAATAATAGCACTTATCTCACAAGGTTGCTGTGAGGATAAAATGAAGTAATATTTGTAAAGCACAGCACAGTGCTTAGCACACAGTAGGCACTTAATAAGTGTTTGTTCCCTCCCCATTCCCAAATAGAGAGTAAGAAAAGTCTTTGGTAATATATGTTTAAGCTCAATTCCTTTCTTTTTTCTCTTCTTCTTCTCTTCTTCTTCTTCTTCTTCTTCTTCTTCTTCTTCTTCTTCTCTCCTCCTCCTTATTTTTCTCCTCCTCTTCCTCCCCCTCCATCACCATCATCATCATCATCTTCTTCTTCTTCTTCTTCTTCTTCTTCTTCTCTTTCTCTCTCTCTCTCTCTCTCTCTCTCTCTCTCTCTCTCTCTCTCTCTCTCTCTCTCTCTCTCTCTCTCCACAATCTGACTTTAGCCTGCCTTATTTAATGCTGACGTTTCATACCACACATTCAATGTGCTAGCCAATGTGGCCTACTTACTGTTCTCTGAATTCAGTTTTCCATCTACCACCTCCACACCACTGTACGTTCTATGTACTGTACTCGCTCTAAATAAGATCATCAATCTCTGCCTAGCGGGGATTGGAAAGATAACCTCCAGGATCAATCTGTTTGGTTTTTAAGGTCCTTTGTAACTACCTTTCCAGTCTTATACCTTCTTTCCTTCCAGGTACTTTATGATCCAGTGATGCTGGTCTCCTGGCTGTTTCTCTCCCAAGATATTCCATCTGCAGACTAAGCATTTTCATTGGTTGTCCCCTGTGCCTTGACTGCTCTCTCTTCTCATGGCAAACTCCTACATTCCCTGGCTTTCCTCAAGTCTCAGCCAAAGCCCTACTTTCTACAAGAACTTTTTCCTAGTCCTCATTAATCACAGTGCCTCCCCTCTGAAACTACCTCCAATTTATTTTATCTATCTATCCATCATTCCATCCATCCATTCTATCAATCATTTGTTCATAGTTGTTAACATGTTGCCTTTCCCATTAGACTGTAAGTTATTGGAGAGCAGGGGCCATTTCCGCCCTTTCTTTGTATCCCCAGCGCTTAACACCATACCTGGAACGAAGTAGGTTCCTACATACGAGTTGACTTGACTCAGTCCTGAACTTCCTTCATGGCTTAGCTCAGGTGCCACCTCCCACGGGAAAGCTTCCCTGAGTTTCCTAGTTGTTACTTCTTAGAACAGTGCCTGGCACATAGTAGGTGCTTAAATGTTTATTGATTGATTGCCTACTACTCTATTTTATATACTTTTTTGTCTACATGTTTTATTCACCAATCAAATCTAAGTGTCCATGGATACAGTATTATTTTTCTTTTCTTTTCTTTTCTTTTATTCCTTTCTTTTCCTTCACCCCTCCTCCTCCCTTTTTGGGTCTCTGTATCCTCAAAACCTAGCACAGAGACTTAAACATAGTAGGCTCTTAAACACATGTCCCATTGAATTGAAGCCCCATTCTGGGTTGGCTCAGACAAGGGAGAACTATTGAACAATATGTTTCAGTAAAAGAAATCCCCCACTTTATATACTAATATCTGAATGTGTATATATGTATATACACATATGTAATGTATGTATATATGTATATATATTCCTTAAAAAAACTTTTTTTCTCCCTTCCTCATCTCTGTCCTAAAAGCAGAGCTACAGAAGCAGCAGCCCTTGGGGCTTGGGGCTCTTCCTGGCTGTGACTCAGGACATAGAACTGGCAGCAGAGAAGGCTCCCTGTCTAAATTCCTCTCCCTTCATCCCTCCCACCCCACCCCCACCTTCAATGCCTCCCTGGTCTCTCTGTGGGGGATGGGACAGACTATCTAGGGAGGAATTGTGGAAAGATTACTATAATGGGCCTGATGGGAATTTGGTGTATTTTGCCTTTTACTGATTTGGATGGGAATGGAGAAAAAACATTTGCTGAGTGCTAACAGCTTGTGAAGCTAAAATTCCCAGCAAAATGTAATGCCTATAACACCATAAATCAGGAGTAAGGGGAAGAAAGATTTATTACAGTGAACTTGGAAAACTTTTCTTGGATCCTTTGCTTTTCTTTTTTAAAAAAATAAATAAATAAATAGGGAAAAAGTAGCTTCCTGAAAATCTGTGTCTGGGAGGTGTACGGAAAAAGGGATAGAAATGGAAAATGTTAGTCCTGTTCTCCACATTGCCTTGAAATCTGCTTCACCTCTTTCCATAGCAGTAAGAGTACCTACAGAGAAGCAGAGAAACGTATATCCATCTGGTGACACAGTATCTTACTTCTCTTCCAATACACAAGCCAAGTGCAAAGAATAAAAAGGGAAAAGAATAAAAGGAGAAAGAATAAAAAGGAGGAAGGAAGAAAGAGAGAGGGAGGGAGGGAGGAAGGAAGGAAGGAAGGAAGGAAGGAAGGAAGGAAGGAAGGAAGGGAGGGAGGGAGGGAAGGAGGGATTGAGAAAGGGAAGGGATGGAGGGTGGGAAAGGAGACAGTAAGAGAAAAGAAGAAGAAGGAGAAGAAGAGGAAAAAGATGAAGAGAAGGAGGAGGAGGAGAGAGGAGAGAGCCCAATTTTAGAGGACCAAAAGATAGCATAATAAAAACAGTGGGAAAGCATGAAAAGAGAACGAGTGCAGATAGATGGAAGTAAAGTGGGCAGTAAAAATAAAGAGGGAAATTGGGAAAATGCAAGCATCTCATCCCCATGTTTGGGCAGATTAATGGAGTTTGCTGCTCCTTCTCTTGAGTTCTGCACTCTGGGAGGGACAATATCTGTTTAGATTTGTGTCTAAATTTAAACCCTGATTGCCTTGCCTCCTCTCCTCCTCTCCCCACCCTCTTTTCCTCCCTCCCTCCCTCCTTCCTTGTTCTCTGGTGCACAGCCACTCTGGTCTCTGTCAGTTCTCAAGCTGAGCTGGGGCTCTGTGACCGCCCCCGTGCAGTGCCTGGTGCTAGAAAGAAACTTTTCCTAGGCAGGGCTAAGAAAAAGGAAAATACAGCGTACACCACGAGGATCAGGGCACCTCCGTTCGAGGGATTCCACAGCAGACACTCATTCTACACCTGGAAGACATGGAGGTAATGGGAGTTTGTTGCCTAAAACCGTGTGCGTGTGCATTAGTGTCCGGGTTTCTCACGATCAGTGCAGGTCAGAGTATGTGACTGACTCACAGATTGACTGAATGTTACCTCCACTTCACATGGTACTTTCTCAAGAAGGGGAGGCGGAGGAGACAGAAGGTCATATGAGGGTCATTCTGAACTGGCCATAGGAGAAGGGCAAGAACTTGCTAGTCTGGACATATCCTATACAGACACTTAGGTCTTCTCCACCCTCCCCAATTCCCCTAATCTGGGCAAGAAGGACTGTCATTTCCTCCCAAGGGATAGGGCAGTGGGGTCAGTAGGTAAAGAGGAAGGGTCGGGAAAGAGGAGGGTGAAGCTTCTAAGGGCTTTGAACCTTTTGATCAGTGATCACAGTGGCTGTGGAATTTTTTAAAGCAGAAATCAGCAAGCACATGAGAGACTCTAAAGAAAGCGGAAGCCCCAAGGTCTGCAGGGATGGGTTCTAAAACAGAAACAAATGGCAAAAACTTCCCTTTGATGCAAGCCTGTTGAGAACACAATTTCTTTTTGCAGACTGGGGACCAGTCACTAAATTGTTTCTGAAGTCTTTCTTTTCCTCTACCTCATCTCCCCCATCACTTCCTGAAAAATCCCCCTTAGCTAAGCAGTCAGAGGACGCTCACTCTTCCTTATACAGCCGGGCTGCTCTATAATCTTTTTCAGTGTGTGGTGCATATGTGTGTGGGGGGGGGGGAGAGCATAGTAAAAGTTTGGTGCTTCTCTGCCCCACTGCTTCCCAGATGAATTTTAAAGTGTTCTCCACTATTTCTGAAACTTACAGATTTGGAGTCAAGAGAGACCTGGGTTTGAGCTCCATCACTTACTAGCTCTGTGACTATGAGCCTCAGGTTTTCGTCTCTGAAGTGGAAATAATTATAGCTGTCATGGACAGGTAGTTCAGAGGATTAGGTAGAGACTCACTTAGGTAGAGATGTGGGTTCAAATTCTGCTTTTGATATGACTGTAACCATGGGGAAATCACTTAACCTCTCAACCCCCCAGACAATTATCTAAGACTGCAGATTACTATTGAGTTGCCTACCTGCCTTGGTAAAGGGAGTTTTAACACAGGAAGGTTCAAAGACTGATTAATTCAACAGACCAAAAGAAACACTACCTACCTCCAGGGGAGTGTGATGGAAAAAAGCATTTAATTTAGAATCAGAAAACCTAGATTAGAATTCTGGCTCTAACACTTCCTTCCCATGTGACTCCAGACAAGTCACTTAAACTTAACTTTTGGTTTCAAGTTTCTGGAGTGTCAATCACCAAGCATTTATTAAGGATCTACTCTCTGTCAGATATTGAGTTAGGCATGGGAGTACAAAGACAAAAATGAAACACTACCCTTCTTCAAAAAGCTTACATCCTATTCAGGGAAACATATATACATATAAGTATATACAAAATAATTACAAGGTATTTTTTCTTGTTAAGTGGTAGGAGGAGGTGGTAGTCACTGGGTAGCATCAGGAAGGACCTCCCAGGTGGAACTTAAGCTAAGCTTTGAAGGAAGCTAGAGGCAGAGGTGAGAATGGTGTGCATTCAGGGCACTGAGGATAGCTGGTGCAAAGGCACAGAGATGAGAGATGGCGACAGGAGCCAGGTATGACTAGATGGTCTGTAAGTTCCCTCCCAACTCTTAATCCTATAATCCAGTTATGAAAGCACTTTGTAATTTATAATTCCCTTCATAAATGTGAGTTACTGATGCTGTTGGTAATCCCCCAGCTAGGGGTATCAAACATCTTATAGCCAGTGATATGATGGCTACTCTACTCCCTCCCCTCACTCTGATTTTGTGGCTTCTGTTAATGTCTACATGGTACCACCGTGATTCTTGACTTAAAGTAATGTTAGGGCTTCGGACATTACAAGGGAAAAGTATAGCAGCAGAATGAGCATCCCTGGAGAGGTCAGCTAAGAGAGCATCCCTGGAGGGGTCAGCTAAGAGAGACAAATCTAACCTCAATCAGTAGATAAGAGAAGAGCATGTTGGGACTGAAAATTGGTACAAGTTCCCCACAAGTAGTCCCACCAACCTGGCTGGCTCCAGGGACTGCCCTTTGAACATTCTGCATTCTGGTGGCATGTTCCAGCCTGAGCTCCACATGCACGCGTTTAGCAGGAGAATTGCCATACTTTCTAACGATCTGTACAGTCTTTCTCCAGATCACTCCCTAATTTCACAACATCCTGGCTAGATGTATGACAGTAATAATAACTTGCAACTGTAGAGTGCTTCAAAGTTTGCAAAATCCTTTCCTCACAACAGCCCCATGAGGCAGACAGTACATGTATTTTCATCCCTGTGGTGCAAATGAGCAAACTGAGACTTTGACAGTTAGTTGAGCTGCCTAAAGTTGTGCACCTGTCGAGGGACCAAGGGAGATTTCAAACCAACTTCTTCCCATCATTCGCCTCCATGTACTCTATGATACAATGGACACAGATCTCCTTGTTATGCATTGAACACAAAACTCCTTCTACCAACTCCAGGAATTGTCAATGGCTATCTGTCCCCTGTGCCTGGGATTCTCTCCTTCCTGATTTTCCTAACTTTTTAAATTTCACTAGTAGTACATTTTGCAAGAAGCCTTTGCCAGTCTCTAATGCTCTGAGATTATCTCTGATTTATCCTGTATGTATCTTTTTTTTTTTGCCTTTAGGCAGTTGGGGTTAAGTGACTTGCCCAGGGTCACACAGCTAGTAAGTGTCAAGTGTTTGGTCTGAAGCCAGATTTGAACTCAGGTCCTCCTGACTTCGGGGCTGGTGCTCTATCCACTGCACCACCTAGCTGCCCCTTATCCTGTGTGTATCTTGATTGTATATGGTTTGCAAGTTATCTCTTTCATTAAAATGTCAGCTTCTTGAGAACAAGGACTGTCTTTTACTTTTCTTTGTGTTCCTAGGGCTTAGCACAGTACCTGGCACATAGTAGGGACTTAGTAAATGCTTGTTGACTTGACTTGATTCTCCCTACAACCCCACAGTAGTATTGTTACCTCCATTTTACAGATGAGGAAACCGAAGCTGGCAGAGTTGAAGCGGCTTTCTCCTTGTGACTTACCGTTCTCACAAAGCACCAGAGTCAGGATCATCACCCTATTTTGTAAAACAAGGTTCAGATTCTTTCCACTTCCACACTCCTGTCATGATGTCTCCTACAGGGATGAAACGAGAAGCAGCCCCAGAGCTGTTCTAAGTCTTCCCAGCACTCCATTCTCCACCTCCCCCAACCCCCCACCCCAAAGCTAGCTAAGGCTCCTTGGAGTCACCTTGGAGGTTTAATGTGCAATACTCCAACATTTCCTCAAGCTCATTTTGTAACTCGGTGCTGTGGTTGGCTCTGTTGCTGTTGGCTGCAGAGAATGGGGTGATCCCTAAAGCAGGGTTTAAAAAGCAGGAAGGAGCTTTAGTTATTTAAGGGGGCAGGAGAGGGCAGTCTCATCAGCCCCAAAATAAGTCAGTCCACTCATTTATAAGACCTGGGCAGCTTCTGCTGGTGCAGATTCAAGTCTGAGTGGCCCTCTGTTCCTCCCAGATACGGTTCAGAAACCACAGACATCAGCAAGGCAAGAATAGGCCCTCATCTCTAGGCTGTTTCCTAGGGAGAACACAGTTGTGCCATGCTTCTCGTGGGCTGAGTGAAAGGAACCACAGGGGAAGGAAAGGCCTCAGCCTTGAGGGTTGGTTTTCCCTGCTAGAAGGGATCTCCCATAAGCTCTAGTGGGGCCCTCCGGTGGCTCACCGTGATTTATGACTACTCCCACTAAAAGACCGGTCTAATCTGTTTGCAAAAAAAAAAAAAATGGCTACGAGATAAGAGGAGGCCTATTTTGGGTTCTTAGGCAGGTTGTTGCCTGAGGGCCAAAGGCAGGTCAGAACAGAGTTCCCAGAGGATTCATTTTACAGGGGTAGGTTTTGAATGGCTAGGGCTAAGTAGCTGCTGCCTGAGCAAGTGTTGATACCTCGATGAAAAAGAAGGGATCCCCCATGGCCAAGGACAAATTGCCTTTGCAAAAAGTTGCTTGAGACTCCAGAATGCAAATGTTGGCAGCCTGACAAAGGTAGAGAAGGCTGGTTTTGGAGTCAGAGGCCTGATTTCAAATCCCAGCTCTGCCATTTTCTCCTTGTGTTACTTGGGTAAGTCATTTAACCTGTCTGCGGCTCAGTTTCCTTCTCTGTGAAACAAGGAGGCTAGAGTAGAATGAACTCTAAAGTTCCTTCCCGCCCTAAATCTGCGAGTCTGGGAATTGTGATTATGTTGTGTCCTGACAACTTGATTAATTAGAGGACTAGCCAGGACTGAATCTGTGAACAGCGTGAATTACATAATTTTTTAAAAAATGAAATAGAGTTTTGTCGTTTTTGAGGACATAGAGTAACTCCAAATAGAACATCCATGTTCATTCATTCATTCATTCATTCATTCCAACTGAGGCCTGGCTAAAGTTCTTAGGGAACCCATTTTTAATCATGATCAGCCTCAGATTCCAGTCTTGTTTCACAGGGTAGACACACTAACCTAACCTCCCGCCATGCTGGACAGCTCGCTTTCCTTCTTTCTCATCCTGTCCTTTTCCACTTCTAAGTCTCTGAAGATGCTTGGATCAAACTCCTACCCTCACCCCTACCCTCCAATATGGATGTAGAGGGAAGAAATACTAGATTTGGAGTCAAAGGATCTGTTTTTCAAGTGCCAATTCTATTTTTTACTAGACACCTTGGGCAAATAATCTAACCTAACTGGACTTCATTTTCCTTGTAAAGGCAGTTTAATGAAGTAGGTAGAAGGCTGGACCTGAAGTCAGGAAGAGCTGGATTCAAATTCTACCTCTGACATTTACTAGATGTGTTGCCCTAGGCAAGTCATTTCAACCTCTCTGTGCCTTAGTTTCCTCATCCTAAAGGAAGGAAGGAAACAAGCATTTATTAAGTGCCTAATTATATGCTTAATAATTTATAAATATTATCTCATTTGAACCTTGCAACAACCCTGGAAGGTAGATGTTATAATGATCCCTATTTTATAGTTGCAGAAACTGAGGCTGAGAAATTAAGTGACTTGTTATTAAGTGTCTAAAGATGGATTTGAACTCAAGTCTTCCTGACTCTAGGCTTAGCTCTCTATCCATTGTGCCACCTGGAAGCTGCTATAAAATGACAGTGTTGGACTAGATGGCCTTTAGGATCCCTCTCAACTCTAAATTCCATGATCTCCCTCTGTTGACATCCTTCCTGTTCTTCAGGTCCAAAATCAGGTGCACCTCCTCTTTGACCCCATTAGTGCCCTTCTTCCTTGACCTGTTCTATTCAGTCAATCATTTTCTAACACATTATCGATCAACCAACAAGCATTTATTAAACACATGCTATGTTCTAGGTATTGGGCTAGGCCTCTGGGGCTTTAAGGCAGAAATGAAGCTGCCCTGCCCTCAAAGGGCGTACATTCTATGGTAAAGACAATATGTACATATACAATGGTGTTTGGAGCATAGTAAGTACTTAATGAAATGCTTTTTAATTCAGCGATATTGGAATATGCAAAATAAATACGAGATGGTTTTGCAGAGAGGGCACTGGCAGTTGGGAAAATCAGAAACGGCTTTGTATGGTGGCACCTGAGTTGTCTTGAAGGAAACCAGGGATTCTAAGAAGTAGCAAGGAGAGAGAGCATTCCAGGCATAGCATACAGCTCATGCAAAGTCATGGAGATGGGTGATGGAATGTCATGTGTGAAGAACAGTAAGTGAGCTAATTTGGCCTATTAGTTATTTGTAACCAAATAGATAATTCTCAAGAATCTTGGAGTAGAAGTCTGTTGAAAATTGTGTTCTCTGGGCAGCTAGGTGGCACAGTGGATAGAGCCCGGGAGTCAGGAGGACCTGAATTCAAATCAGGCCTCAGACACTTGACACTTCCTAGTTGTGTGATGCTGGGCAAATCACTTAACCCCATTGCCTAACAAAAACAAACAAAGATTGTGTTCTCTTCATTCTTTTAAACATTTCTCCTGCCAAAAAAATTACTTACGTTACATCAAGCATAAAAAAGCCGTATGTTCCAGTGGACAGCCAGGTGGCAAAGTGGTTAGAGCACTGGGCTTGGGATCAAGAATACTCATCTTCCTGAGTTCAAATCTCGTCTCAGACACTTACCAGCTGTGTGACCCTGGGCAAGTCACTTAACTCTGTTTGCCTCAGTTCCCTCATCTGTAAAATGAACTGGAGAAGGAAATAGCGAATCACTCCAGTATCTTTGCCAAGAAGACCCCCAAATGGGGTCATGAAGAGTTGGACACGAGTGAAATGACTCAACAACAATGTTCTAGTGGCTAGAGTATGGGATTTGGAGTCTCTCTAGCCTCAGCTGAGTCTTCACTGCTCCACATCAATTCTTTTTATCCACACCTCATCCATCCCCCATTGCGTTCCCCCCAGAGCTATTCCAACCTTTACCTCCTCTCCTCAGACCATCCACTCCATCCCATCTCTCTTCAGCTTCAGGAGATGACCTTACCTCTTACTTGTTGATCTCTAAGGGGATCAATACCATCCAACAAGGAGGTCCTCAGCTCCTCTAAGCATTTCAATATTCTCCTCCTTCTTCTCTTCCTCCTTTCTAATCTCAGAGGAAGGTGTGAACTTTCCCCTTGCCACAACACTCTTTTGTGCCCCACCCCTCCTGTCTCCTCCATGACCTGTGTACGGTCACTATCATGCATCTTCAGTCTTTCACTTCTTTCTTCTAACTCCTGACCTGTAAACAAACCAGGGCTCCCCAATCTTAAAACAAAAAATTCCAACCTTTCCCTGGATCCTGATAGTTCCTTAAGTTATCATCTCCTCTCTCTCTGCCCCCCCCAGCTCCCTTGCTTCACTCTCAAATTTATGAAAAGAGTTGTTTACATTCACCGCCTCCATTTCCTTACTACCCAGTTGCTCCTGCACCCAAAGAATCATAGAATCTTAGGGTTTTAAAGGACCTTAGTCATCTTGTACCTGAATGGGGATTTCCTCAACAACTTTCCTGATGAGCAACCATCACTAGCAGAACCAGCATGGTGTTGTGCAAAGAATCTGGCATCCAAAGTCAGAGAATGTGGCTTTGAATCCAGGCCCTACTGGTATGACTCTGGTCAAGTCACCTAACCTCTACTGATTTTAGATTCCTCATCTGCAAAAAGTGGATACTGGTCTTTGAGCTTCTTATTTTATGACTTCCATGTAAATTCTGGTCAGCTCCAGGAAGTTTTTCCTTACTTCCATCTGAAATTTGCCTCTGTAGCTTCTACTCCATCTATAATCAAACAGAATAAGTTAAATCTTTCTTCTATGCAATGACCCTTTAAGTACTTGAAGACAGGTATCCTGTTCTTCCAACTCTTCTCTTCTCCAGCTAAATACATAGTTCTTCCAGCCAGTTTTGCTTTGGTATAGTTTTAATCTCTAGTCCTTTCACCATCATATCCCACATTTCTTTGGAAGTATTCCAGTTTCCTAAAGTCATTCCTAGAATGTGGTACCTAGAACTGAACATTTTGTGCTGTGTGTTCTCATGAAGGCAGCATACACTAAGACTCTCCCCTTCTTCATCCTAAAGGCAGATTGTGTTTATGTTCATACTTTTGGCTGCCATGTTGCTGTCAACTCATCCTAACTTGAAGCCTGCTCAAACCTCAGATTGTTTTCCCATGAATTAGCAAGACCTCTCCCTCATTCTGTATTTGTGAAACTGATTTTTTGAACCTATGTATGGGACTTTACATTGATCTCTACTAAAAGTCATCTTATTAGTGGCCTGACAAGATCTCTGTGGCTCCCAACTCTTGGCAATCTGACTTCTGCCTGAAACAATTTTTTCCAAGGTCACTAATAACTGCTTGCTTGTTAAATCTAAGGATCTTTTTTTTCCTTATTCTTCTTGATGTCTTGGTTACTGCTGAACATCATTTAATAGTGTTACCTATCCTCTCCTGGATTCTTTCTGCTTTGGATTCTGCTACACTGGTTCTCCCATTGGATTGTGAGCTCCTTGAGGGCAGGGACTGCCTTTTGCTTTCCTTTGTATCCCCAGTGTTTAGCAAAGTACTTAGCACATAGTAGGCATTTCATAAATGTTCATTGACTGACATATTGGTTCTCTAACCTCTGTGGCTACTCCTCTATTTCCTTTGCTGATTTGTCATTCTCTTCCCACTCCTTAAAAGTGTTTCCCTCAAGTTTCCATCTTT